GATCATCAGGCTCTGCTGCTATTCCTAACTTGAGAACCAATTGCAACACAGCATAATACTCCTAAAGAAGAAAATCTGCATCTAAACAGTACGGTATAGGTGGTTTGTTAAGGAGAATGTGGTGCAACAAGTTTGGTAACATTGGTAGCAAAAGCTCCAGGAAAATCAGATTGCTATCCACAGAGAGACTAAAATAACTATAACTGAACACCCTATCATAGAATCATAGAATCAAAGAGTTGGAAGAGACCTCATGGGCCATCCAGTCCAACCCTCTGCCAAGAAGCAGGAAATTTGCATTCAAAGCACCCATGACAGATGGACATCCAGGCTCTGTTTAAAAGCTTCCAAAGAAGGAGCCTCCACCACACTCCGGGTCAGAGAGTTCCACTGCTGAACGGCTGGCTCTCACAGGAAGTTCTTCCTAATGTTCAGATGGAATCTCCTTTCTTGTAGTTTGAAACCATTGTTCCACATCCTAGTCTCCAGGGAAGCAGAAAACAAGCTCGTCCCCTCCTCCCTGTGGCTTCCTCTCACATATTTATACATGGCTATCATATCTCCTCTCAGCCTTCTCTTCTTCAGGCTAAACATGCCCAGCTCCTTAAGCCGCTCCTCATAGGGCTTGTTCTCCAGACCCTTGATCATTTTAGTCGCCCTCCTCTGGACACATTCCAGCTTGTCAATATCTCTCTTGAATTGTGGTGCCCAGAATTGGACACAATATTCCAGGTGTGCGGAATAGAGGGGTAGCATTACTTCCCTAGATCTAGACACTATGCTCCTATTGATGCAGGCCAAAATCCCACTGGCTTTTTTTGCTGCCACATCACATTGTTGGCTCATGTTTAACTTGTTGTCCACGAGGACTCCAAGATCTTTTTCACACATACTGCTCTCAAGCCAGTTATCATTGCATATCATTTTTTTCTTCCTAAGTGGAGTATCTTGCATTTGTCACTGTTGAACTTCATTTTGTTAGTTTTGGCCCATCTCTCTAGTCTGTCAAGATCGTTTTGAATCCTGCTCCTGTCCTCTGGAGTATTGGCTCTCCCTCCCAATTTGGTGTCGCCTGCAAACTTGATGATCATGCCTTCTAACCCTCCATCTAAGTCATTAATAAAGACGTTGAACAGGACCCAGAACAGAACCCTGCTTATGGCACTCCGCTCGTCACTTCTTTCCAGGATGAAGAGGAAGCATTGGTGAGCACCCTCTGGGTTCGTCCATTTAACCAATTACAGATCCACATTCAAAACAGGATTATAAAGTACATCAAAACATTTAAACCAGTATCACCACTGTTAAACCACGCTATTCATAATCATAATCTGGGCCTTTCCAGTAGTCCTTGTACATGATTCACATTAATTTAGACCCATTGAACTGGATCGAGGAAGGGGCCATAGTGTTATCTGAATTGTGGAAAGGGCCATAGTGTTATCCGGATTATATGGCAGAGTAGATGGGGCATAAGGGGTTGTGCAATAGCCATTACAAAGTGAATGGATGGGTGCTTTGTTTCGTAATCATACTATGAAATTAAATGCCGTCCCCAATGCACATTATATGTGCATTGGGGACGGCATTTAATTTCATAGTATGACTAGCTGTCCGCTGCCATGGGTTGCTGTGGCCCAGTCTGGTGATCTGGAAAATAAAGTAATGAGAAAGTGTTGGTTTCTAATATATGTTATGTCTTTCTGCTTGTGGGTCAACAGTGTTTCTTGCTGTTTCTTTGCCAGTGTTGATGTCTGGTTTGCCTACTTTGGAACATGCAACATATCATTGCCCTTCTTTAGGGGTCCCTTTCAAATCTTTGATACTGCATCTGTCATATACATATGTGTGTGTGTGTGTGTGTGTGTGTGTGAATGGCTGGATGGCCCTTTGTCAGGAGGGCTTTGATCATGTTTTCTTGCCCTGGTGAAGTGAGTTGGACTGGATGGCCTTAAGGCAGCATTTCTCAACCTGGGGTTTGGGACCCCAGGGGGGAGGTTGCGAGGAGGTGTCAGAAGGGTTGCCAAAAACCAACAGAAAACACAGTATTTTCTGTTGGTTATGAGGGTTCTGTGTGGGAAGTTTGCCCCAATTCTGTCATTGGTGGGCTCAGAATGCTCCTTGGAATGTGTCCAGAGGAGGGCGACTAAAATGATCAAGGGTCTGGAGAACAAGCCCTATGAGGAGCAGCTTAAGGAGCTGGGCATGTTTAGCCTGAAAAAGAGAAGACTGAGAGGAGATATGATAGCCATGTATAAATATGTGAGAGGAAGTCAAAGGGAGGAGGGAGCAAGCTTGTTTTCTGCTTCCCTGGAGACTAGGACACGAAACAATGGCTTCAAACTTCAAGCGAGGAGATTCCATCTGGGCATGAGGAAAAACTTCCTGACTGTGAGAGTCGTTCAGCAGTGGAACTCTCTGCCCCGGAGTGTGGTGGAGGCTCCTTCTTTGGAAACTTTTAAACAGAGGCTGGATGGTCACCTGTCAGGGGTGATTTGAATGCAATATCCCTGCTTCTTGGCAGGGGGTTGGACTGGATGGCCCATGAGGTCTCTTCCAACTCTATGATTCTATGATTCTAAGGTAAAGGTAAAGGTAGTCCCCTGACATTAAGTCCAGTCATGTCTGACTCTGGGGTGTGGTGCTCATCTCCATTTCTAAGCCGAAGAGCCAGCGTTGTCCGTAGACACCTCCAAGGTCATGTGGCCGGCATGACTGCATGGCACGCCGTTACCTTCCTGCCGGAGCGGTACCTATTGATCTACTCACATTTGCATGTTTTCGAACTGCTAGGCTGGCAGAAGCTAGGGCTGACAGCGGAAGCTCACGCCGCTCCCCGGAATCGAACCTGCGACCTTTTGATCAACAAGCTCAGCAGCTCAGTGCTTTAACCCACTGCGCCACTGGGGGCTCCCTCTATGATTATAGGTGAACTATAAATCGCAGTAACTACAACTCCCAAATGTCAAGGCCTATTTCCCCCAAACTCCATCTGTGTTTATATTTGGGCATATTGAGTATTCGTGCCAAGTTTGGTCCACATCCATCATTGTTTAAGTCCACAGTGCTCTCTGAATGGAGGTGAACTACAACTCCAAAACTAATGCCCACCAAACTCTTCTAGTGTTTTCTGTTGGTCATGGGAGCCCTGTGTGCCAAGTTTGGTTCAATTCCATCATTGGTGGAGTCCAGAATGCTCTTTGATTGTAGGTGAACTATACATCCCAGCAACTACAACTCTCAAATGGCAAAATCAATTTTTTTGAGTGGAGGACATAAATTGGACTGTTAGGTGTCTTGTGTCCAAATTTGGTGTAAATTCCCCCAGTGGTTTTTGAGTTCTGATGGTAGCACGAACTAACATTACATTTTTATTTATATAGATTACACTGTTCAACGGAGAAAAAGTTGCGGGCCTGAAAATAGTTGTTCTTTTATGATTTTGGGGTGCTGAAAACAAAAATGACATTTTAAAATGTATATTGGCTCTTGTTTTTATGATATAAGCAATCACGTGATCACGTATGGTTGAAAAAATGCATGTTGCGACTTACACTATGGAAGATTCTAGAATACTCTAGAAAGTTTGATGACGCAGTATTAGTGCCGTGTGCAAAAGCCAGAAAGCCCTATATAAGGCCAGACTTTTGAACGGTGAGGGTCAGTCAGTTGAAGACTGAGACAGTATCGTTAAACATCGTTTTACATTGTTCTTTTTACTGTAGTTATGCCTCGCACGTGTGTCAATAAAGCACTATGGAAAAAAGATATCAAGGCAAATGGACTCCGTCAATGCTGTCAGACTCCTGCTGGAGCATTGTAAGAGACAATCCTTTCCTTGAATACAAAAGAAAAGTCAAGAGAAGCAAACAGGATATAAACTAAAGTCACGATTAAAGCGACATTTAAACTTTCAGACTTTTCAACTGCATTGGGCCTACTAATATAGTTTCTTGCTGCACAAACATAAACAATAGACTAATTAAATAAATATTTCTCTTGTATAAACTATTGGCAATATAATTTGACTAAAATTTAGTAAATATTCATGGTTTATATACATGCAGTATTGGCAATATAATTTGACTAAAATTTAGTAAATATTCACGGTTTATATACATGCAGTTAGGCGCATTATCATAATATTAACGAATTACCTATTGTGGAGAAAATTGAAATAGCTGTTGCATAAAAACCAGAGCCAATTAACACATTTAATTATTATATTTGAATTCAGCATGTTAAATGTATTAAGAAACGGCACATTTCGTTTCCGTAACTGAGAAAACCTGAAAATTTGTAGAACAGTGTTATAGGTGAACTATCAATCCCAGCAACTACAACTCCCAAATGACAAAATCATAATTTTTTGAGTGATGGTCACTCCTTGTGTTGTGAGACATTTTGTTGCCAAATTTGGTGAGATTTCGTTCATTGGTTCTTTTGTTTTTAGGGTACTCATTATGCACAGAGCATTTTTATGTAGAGAGATGTACAGTGACCATAAAGTTATTCCATTGTAGTCCACACAGCTGTATGAACTCCACACTGAACCGGATTATATGGCAGTGTAGACTCATATAATCCGGTTCAAATTAGATCTGCTTTTGATAACTATATGGCAGTGTAGATCATAGAATCATAGAATCAAAGAGTTGGAAGAGACCTCATGGGCCATCCAGTCCAACCCCCTGCCGAGAAGCAGGAATATTGCATTCAAATCACCCCTGACAGATGGCCATCCAGCCTCTGTTTAAAAGCTTCCAAAGAAGGAGCCTCCAACACACTCCGGGGCAGAGAGTTCCACTGCTGAACAGCTCTCACAGTCAGGAAGTTCTTCCTCATGTTCCTCATCCAGCCTTAAGAGTGTTTAGGTTTGTAAAGGAGAGAGGAAGCTATGCAGCTCCTACTTCTTGGGATGTTTTCCTGGCCTGAGCTCTTGCTTTCAGACCAGCCATCTCCTGGGTCTGCCTTCCTTCCTTCCCTATAGAGAGACCCACCTTCTCGGCGTCCTCGCCCAACGGGATGCCCAGCGCCTTGAGCCCTTCCTGCAGCTCGGCGATGTCCACCCGGCCGTCCTCATTGAGGTCCAGCTTCTTGAAGAGGCTCTCATAGCGCGAAGGCGGGGGGTCGGGGGCTTGGCAGGCGGCCTCCGGGAGCACCCAGCCCCGCAGGAAGCGGATCATGGCGAGGAAGGAGCAAAATGGAGCCTTAGCTGACCCTTCCTTTTCCTTTTCCTCTCCAGCAGGCCAGGGCGGGGTGCAGGAAGGGGAAACGCCCCGCCCGCCTCCTTGGGCTCCTCCAGGGGTGGCTCCATCGTCACGGCGTGGGCGGGGCTTGGAGAACCCCCTCCCCGTGACGTAACAGGAGGGAAACCCCCGAGCTTCCTGGGGCGCCTTCTAGGCAGGGTTTGCTCCAACTAATTCAAGGGGGCATTCTATTTTGCATACACACACACACACACACTAATTCAAGGGGGCATTCTATTTTGCATACACACACACACACTAATTCAAGGGGGCATTCTATTTTGCATACACACACACACACACTAATTCAAGGGGGCATTCTATTTTGCATACACACACACACACACTAATTCAAGGGGGCATTCTATTTTGCATACACACACACACACACTAATTCAAGGGGGCATTCTATTTTGCATACACACACACACTAATTTAAGGGGGCATTCAATTTTGCATACACACACACACTAATTCAAGGGGCATTATATTTTGCATACACACACACTAATTCAAGGGGGCATTCTATTTTGCGTACACACACACACACACACTAATTCAAGGGGGCATTATATTTTGCATACACACACGCTAATTCAAGGGGGCATTCTATTTTGCATACACACACACACACTAATTTAAGGGGGCATTCAATTTTGCATACACACACACACTAATTCAAGGGGGCATTATATTTTGCATACACACACACACTAATTCAAGGGGGCATTCTATTTTGCATACACACACACACACTAATTCAAGGGGGCATTCTATTTTGCATACACACCCACACACACACTACAAGGGGGCATTCTATTTTGCATATACACACACTAATTCAAGGGGGCATTCTATTTTGCATACACACACACACACTAATTCAAGGGGGCATTATATTTTGCATACACACACACACACACTAATTCAAGGGGGCATTCTATTTTGCATATACACACACTAATTCAAGGGGGCATTCTATTTTGCATACACACACACACACTAATTCAAGGGGGCATTATATTTTGCATACACACACACACACACTAATTCAAGGGGGCATTCTATTTTGCACATACACACTAATTCAAGGGGGCATTCTATTTTGCACATACACACACTAATTCAAGGGGGCATTGTATTTTGCATACACACACACACACTAATTCAAGGGGGCATTATATTTTGCATACACACACACGCTAATTCAAGGGGGCATTCTATTTTGCATACACACACACACACTAATTCAAGGGGGCATTCTATTTTGCATACACACACACACTAATTCAAGGGGGCATTATTTTGCATACACACACACACTAATTCAAGGGGGCATTATATTTTGCATACACACACACTAATTCAAGGGAGCATTTTTTTGCATACACACACACACGCACACTAATTCAAGGGGGCATTATATTTTGCATATACACACACACACTAATTCAAGGGGGCATTCTATTTTGCATACACACACACACACACACACACTAATTCAAGGGGGCATTCTATTTTACACACACACATTCAAGGGGGCATTATATTTTGCATAGACACACACACACACTAATTCAAGGGGGCATTCTATTTTGCATACACACACACACTAATTCAAGGGGGCATTCTATTTTGCATACACACACACACTAATTCAAGGGGGCATTCTATTTTGCATACACACACACACACACACTAATTCAAGGGGGCATTATATTTTGCATACACACACACGCTATATGTGGTAAATATCTATATAAATAAAAATGTAATGTTCGTTTGTGGGATTAAAAGAACTCAAAAACCACTGGATGAATTGACACCAAATTTGGACACACGACACCTAACAACCCAATCTATGTCCTTCACTCAAAAAACAATGATTTTGTCATTTGAGAGTTGTAGTTGCTGGGATTTATAGTTCACCTACAATCAAAGAACATTCTGAACCCCACCAATGATGGAATTGAACCAAACTTGGCACACAGTTCTCCCATGACCAACAGAAAATACTGGAAGGGTTTGGTGGGCAGTGTCCTTTGGTTTTGGAGTTGTAGTTCACCTACATCCAGAGAGTACTGTGGACTCAAACAATGATGGACCTGGTCCAAACTTGGCATGAATGTACCATATGCCCAAATATGAACACAGGTGGAGTTTGGCAGAAATAAACCTTGACATTTGGGAGTTGGAGTTACTGGGATTTATAGTTTACCTACAATCAAAGAGCATTCTGAACCCCACCAATGATGGAATTGAACCAAACTTGACACACAGAACTCCCATGACCAACAGAAAATACTGGGAGGGTTTGGTGGGCATTGACCTTGAATTTGGGAGTTGTAGTTCACCTACATCTGGAGAGCACTGTGGACTCAAACAATGATGGATCTGGACCAAACTTGGAATGAATACTCAATATGCCCAAATGTGAACACTGGTGGAGTTTGGGGAAAATAGAATCTTGACATTTGGGAGTTGTAGTTGCTGGGATTTATAGTTCACCTACAATCAAAGAGCATTCTGAACCCCACCAAGGACAAACTGGGGCAAACTTCCCACACAGAACCCCCATACCTAAGGTCATCCAGTCCAAGTCCCTACACCAGGGCAAGAAAACTTAATCAAAGCCCTCCTGACATTTTTATTTATATATATGATTCACACAGAGAGATATACCATAGTATCATAGGTTTGAAGGGGACTCCTAAAGAAGGACAATATGTTCTATGTTCCAGAGTAGGCAAACCAGACAATCTCCACATCAACACTGACAAAGAAACAACAAGAAATACTGTTTACCCACAAGCAGAAAGAAATTACATAGATTAGAAATGAATACTTTCTCATTATTTTCCAGATCACCAGACTGGGCCACAACAACGTATGGCAGGGGATGGCTAGTATCTATATAAATAAAAATGTAATGCTCCTTGCCCCACCCCAGCCATTCCACAGATATATAAACCCATTTTTCCTACTTCCAACAGACCTCACACCTCTGAGGATGCTTGCCATAGATGCAGGCGAAACGTCAGGAGAAATGCCTCTAGAACATGGCTCTATAGCCCGAAAAAACCCACAAGAACCTAGTGATTCCAGCCATGAAAGCCTTCACAATACAATGTAATGTTCATTTGTGGGATTAACAGAACTCAAAAACCACTGGACAAATTGACACCAAATGTGGACACAAGACAACTAACAGTCCAACAAGTGTCCATCACCCATAAACACACACACACACAAAATCCCAGCAGAACAGACTTAAAAGCCCAAAAATACACCATATAGCCATATACACATACACTCATATATATGCACATGCACACATTCATACACACACACGTATATATATGCACAAACACACACAAATATACACATATACACACATATACACATGCACATATACATGCACACATACATATATACATATACACATGCACACACATACACATATCCACATACATACATATATACACACAAATATGCAGGATTGAAGACCGATAGGTCAGAGGTTCGAATCCGGGGAGAGTGTGGATGAGCTCCCTCTGTCAGCTCCAGCTCCCCATGTGGGGACATGAGAGAAGCCTTCCACAAGGATGATAAAACATCAAAACATCCGGGCGTCCCCTGGGCAACGTCCTTGCAGACCACAAATTCTCTCACACCAGAAGCGACTTGTAGTTTCTCAAGTTGCTCCTGACACGGAATAAAAATTGAACACCACCCTGTTTTGATACTTCTTGTGTTGCATTAAACTTTCAACTTTGCAATCCAGTATCATGTTCGATATATCTTGTAATCTATCCAATTTGCTGTTTATTGTGTGAAAAGTTTTATTCAAATTGTTGGATCCAATTTCCTCTTCCATCTCCATCTTTGTCTTTCGAATCTATGTACACACAGTCATCCTTTATCTTGTCCTTCTGTTGTCAAAGTCTCTAGCCCTTTAAACCACTAGATGTCGTAAGTTTGTCATATTTTCTATTGCTGGTTGTTGAAAAGCAGATTTGTCAAACTCCTTATTTGGTGGGGTGGCAGTTTGGATTAGTCTAAACGTTCTTTTCCAGGGTCAGATTCCCAAGATGTCATAACTCTTCTATTCAGAGTGGCAAATTATAAATCCTAATTTAGGTTAGATTCTTCTTACATTTTTTTGTCCACACACTTGTATTATAATTCTGTTTAGAGGTTATTTCAATCAAAAGAATTTATTGTACTAGCAGAAGGCCATGACGAAAAGGCACAGGTTAAGGGTGAACAAATTAGCCCTTCTTAGCAGTTGATGGCAATTTTATCCAGCTCTCTCTTTTTGGTCTTTTTCGCAGACAAAGCAAAGAGGGCCACTTTATATGTTACGAGGGTTGAATGAAAAGTAATGCCTCCACCTTCACTACTTGGGTTTGGATGGGAATATTTTAATAAATCAAACGCAGAAATAATCTTTAGAATGTGCTCTTTAACTACCACTACAGGAGCTGTCTTCATAGACCTGTCAGCAGCTTATGATACTGTAAACCACCGCCTCCTCCTGAGAAAAATATATAATATTACAAAGGACTACCACCTCACCCGCCTTATAGGAAACCTGCTACAAAACAGGGGCTTTTTTGTTGAGTTCAAGGGCCAGAGAAGCAGATGGCGGAAAGAGAAGAATGGCCTGCCTCAGGGGAGCATGCTTGCTCCATCCATGTTCAACATTTACACAAATGACCAGCCATTGCCAGAAGGGACAGAGAGCTTCATCTATGCTGATGATCGTGCCATTACCGCTCAAGCAGGGAGCTTTGAGATGGGTGAGCAGAAGCTCTCTGAAACTCTAGGTCAGTGTTTCTCAACCTTCCTAATGCTACAACCCCTTAATTCAGTTCCTCAAGTTGTGGTGACCCTCAACCATAAAATTATTTTTGTTGCTACTTTATAACTGCAATTTTGCTACTGTTATGAATCATAATGTAAATATCTGAACACTGGTGGAGCTTGGGGGAAATAGAACTTGAGATTTCAGAGTTATAGTTGCTGGGATTTATAGTTCACCTACA